AGCAGGGAGTCCGATGTGGGACTCGATCCCAGGACCCTGGGATCATGACCTGAGCCGAAGGCAGACGCTTAACGACTGAGCCACCCAGGCGCCCTGAATAACATCTTTTAACACTAATTGTAATGATTGTCCCAATGACATTTAATTAGCCCGTGTGCTGGGATTTCTCACATGCTAAGTGTAACATCATGCACCAAGGCCTTCCACAGCCTGTGAAATTAGCAAACAGTGGACATGTATGTAAAGCAGTGAAAAAAAAATGTCACGGGGGAGAATCAAATCCAGTTACATTCTAGCTTAGGTATCTTGAAAAAAACTCAAACAAGTTCTATGTGAAGGATCAAGAAACTTATAACAAGCTAGAATGAAATATCTTATCTACTTTCTTTTACATGTTAAAATCATTTGACCTCAATTAGAGAAACAACAGTTAACTCCTCTCCTCCCATTCTTCACACTATAGTGAGAGGATGAGGAACAGGGGATGGGGGAGTGAGAAGATGAATGGAAAAAGTGTAGCCTGAAAGCATGTCCTCAAACGGAGTTGGAGAACAGCTCAAGGAATCCACACCCAAGGCTGGGAAGGGAAAATAAGCCATGGGGACAAGGAGCAAGTTGGGGTGAGGTCAAGGGCTGACATGGAATTGCAGGAAAGCCAGGTGGCTCCTTATTTCCCGTGTCCCACTCCAGCCAATAACAGGTCATTTTTACAGTTTAACAAGCTGCCACCCCGATAAGACAAACATGACCAACTTAAAGAAACTTTAAAATGAAGCACGTGCTGTTTAAGAGAAAGAGAACGGGTACAAGGGATGGGGTAGTTAAGAAAGAAGAAATATATATGGAGGGTTTTTTCTTGAATTTTTTCACATTATAGGGATATTTGGGTAGGTGTATGTGGGGGAGACAAATATACAAAGAGAAAATGTGAGTAAATATGTACAAAGGGGAAAGAAAAAATATATCCTAATAGCACTCATGCTATTATACGTATTTGAGTTTCTCATATCTACATAATAAAAACATTACAGATTTAAGTGTATTTCAGAGAGAATACCAATGGAAGGCAAAGCTGTAAGTATTGCCGGTAGCAAGTGAAAGAGATGAAAAATGCTACTTTTTCAGCCGTACATTCCACTCTTTGATGCTCAATTATTTATATAATCTTAAATAAATTAAAAATGATTAGTTAGAAAGATAATAAAGACTTTATGCAAGAATAAAATCTATGGCCCAATTCAGGTATAACTAAAATATTTATAGTAAATATTTATAAAGTCTCTTAAATTCCAAAATTTAACCTATTTGAATATTATTCAACATAAAACAATTTTAAAATAGAAATTTTAAAATAGAAAAACATCCGTGGACTGTTCCCATTCACGTTCAGTTTCTTAAAGATTTTTTCATCATGGGTAGTGCCTCAAATTGACATAAGAATATTTTTCTGCCTCCTCTATGTGGTTTCAACATAACAGTGCTAAATCAAAATTATGTGAAGTAAATTAAAAATACATAAAACAAAGAGTAAAACATTTTCAAATATTTAAGCTATATTTTTTTTCTGACAGCTTGTACTTCACACTTGGAAATTATAAAAAAGTAATAATAATATTTAAAATATGTTTTTGTATCCAGATCTGGAATTGTTAACTTTGTCATAAGAAAATGGAAAGTATTAAAAATATTCTTTAAAAATATTTAAGTAAGGCGGGGAGTTAGTGTTGAATGAGTACAGAGTTTTAACTGTGGAAGATGAAAAAGTTCTGGAGGTGGACAGTGGTGATGGTCACACAACAATGTGAATGTAATGCCACAGAACTGTACACTTAAAAATGGTGAAAATGATAAATTTTATATTATGTGTATTTCACCAAAATAAAAAATATTTACAAAAAAGATGAAAAATACAGGATCAAGATGTAAATAAACAAGAAAAGATTAAAAACCCTATATTTTTTCTTTTAAGATTATTTATTTTAGAGAAAGAAAGAGCATGTGAGAGCACGCAAGGGGGGGTAGAAGGAGAGGGAAAGGGAGGTAGAGAGTTAAGTAGCCGCCACGCAGAGCGTGGAGCCCAATGTGGGCTTGATCTCATGATCTGAGCTAAAACCAAGAGTGGGATGCTTAACCGACTACTCCACCCAGGCACCCCAGAAACACTGTATTGTTGGTAACAGTACCAAATATGGAAGATTAAAAAAAAAAAACCCGTTAGAAGAAAACAGAATATAGTCATGACCTTGAGATAGGCAAAGATTTCTTAAATAGGACACCACAAGTGCTAACCATAAAAAGAAGGGTTAATTAATTGAGCTACATTAAAATTAAGGTGTTCATAAAATCACCAAGAAAAGTGAAAAGGAAAGCTACAGAGAGGAAGAAGTTATTTGCATTAATGAATATCCACCAAAGAACTTGGATCCAGAATACATCGAGAACTCCTTAAATGAGTAAGAAAAAGAACTCATTAGAAAACTGGAGAAAGACTTAATCATGACACTTCATAAAAGAGGTTACAAATTAAAGGAAATACAACTTAAAGCCTCAGTGTAATACCAATATACACCAGCAAAATGACTAAAAAAAGAACTTTAAAAGACTGGTAATACCAAGTGTTACTGAGAATATGAAACAACTGTAATCTCCTTTAATGCTGATGGAAGCAAAAATTGGTAAGATTTCCTTGGAACATCTGCTGGTAGTATTCACGTAAGTGAAACATAAGCACACACTATGATCCAGCAATTCCACTCCTAGGTGAACACTCAACAGAAATGCATAATTATGTTCACCGAAAGGCATGTTTGAAAATGATCACAGTAGCACTGTTCAGAACAGCTCTAAATGGGAAACAAACGAGATGCACTTCAACAGCAGGTTGGGTAAATCATACACTATTCAAATAATGGAATATTAGACAGCAGAAAGAATCAGCAAACAATTATCCTGTGCAAGATTATGATTGAATCTAACAGATAGGTTGAGTGAAAGAAGGCAAATTCCAAAGAGAACAGACCATGATACTCCATTTATATGAAGTTCCCAAACAAACTAAAGGACTGATGGTCCTAAAATGCACAGAATGGTTATCGTTGGGAGGTGAGGTGGGGAAGGAGAGGGGTGAGTGACTGGGAGGGAGCAGAAAATGGTGCCTCTGGGGGTGTTGGTGATGTTATTCCTTGGTATGGGTGGGGTTACATGCTGTGTGCATTTTGAGAAAATACACTGAACTATATACTTTTACAAGTTCTGCATTTATCTGCATGCATGCTATATATCAGTAAAAAGCTCAACAATGAAACAACAAATCCATAACTATTAAAACTAAAATTGGAAAAAGGATTAAGTGAAAATGTAAAAAAACCCTCATATTTCAGTGAAAAATGGAAAGGATCATAATGTACTGAGAGGCATATCTGCAAAACACCCAAGTGGGGGATGCTAATTGCTGACACTTACCTCTGTTGATTTTGAGCAGAATACAGATTTCTAAAGGTTTCAGAGTCTGGAAGGCATTTGATTTGATGGCCAAGTGAGGGAAGGGCTGGAGAAGAGAGAGCAGAGCCACAATGCAGTATGGTACAGCGTATGGGGTTGAAGGAGAAATAACAGGGACATACACCCTCCCAGCCAAGGGAGAAAGCTACAGGTAAAGAAGTGAGACCACTAGGCTCCATCACAAATAGTCTGTGACTTAAGGGGCGCTACTAAGTGCCACAACTACTTGGACAGTGAAAAGTATGAGAAGACCCAGGGCAACAAAAAGAAAATATTTGAGGAAATCTGAATCTCAGTTTGAGATTATTATACAAACTCGCTCTCACTATCCACCCATCTCAATTCCTCCCCATACTATTTTCAGCAAACCACGGATGAGTAGTAAGCTCAAAAGAGCAGCATGTGATCTAATCATAGATGCTGCTAAAAGGAGGGGAAAAAAAGAGAAAATGTATAAAAAGAACAGATCAAGACATACTCCACACAGTAGGTCATGTTTCTACCTTAGTCTATCATATTTTATGTTTATATTTAAGCCGCTTTGACAATTCACCCTTCATGAATTATAACAAGACTCATTAAAATTGAAGAAATGACAGATTTTGGGGGTGGGTGTTCTCAAAGAGAGCATTAATAACTCTTAATGCAAGCAGTTATAATGTTAAGATTAACATTCTTTTTTTTTTTAAGATTTTATTTATTTGAGAGTGAGAGAGAGTGCAGGAGCATGAGGAGGGGAGGGGCAGACGGGGAGGGAGAGGGACAAGCAGATTCTGTGCTGAGCATGGAGCCTCACGTGGGGCTCAATCCCATGACCTGAGCTCATGACCTGAGCTGAAATCAAGTCAGCTGCTCAACAGACTGAGCCACCCAGTGCCCTTAATCTTAATGATATGTTGGAATGTGACATACAGGGACAAAATTCCTAAAAGATGAAAGAATTGTACACACTGAAAAGTGTGAGTCCCACAGGGAGCTACAAATGGCCAAGTACAGTGGAATCTGGCCATGGTGTACACAAAGACAAGCCTGGGGAGAAACGCAAGGGGTCATGTGGGGAATTTACCTTGGAAACTATTGGAATTTACACAGAGCACAAAAACATCTGTATTTCTGGATGAACTCTGTAGTAGTAGCAGTATGAAGGAATGAGTTGGATGGGAGGAAGACGGGAGGAAGGGAGTGTGAGCAGGATTACTATTGCAGTAGAAGTATCTAGAAAGTACTATGGACTGAAAGAAGGCAGCAGCCCTCAGAGGGAAGGCCAGATTTAACCAAGCTTATGGAGATGGGAAAACTGTACTGATGACCAATGGGGTGTGTCTGTGGTGGTGGTGGTGGTGATGAGTCAGGGAGGAGGTTTCTAGGGTGGGGAATAAAGAAAGAGCAGGTTGGGTTGGAGTTAGGAGGTGAGATAAGAGGAACCAGAAGCATCCTGTTGGGGGTACTGGAGGCATGATCACCCAGGGAGAGAACATGCTCACCCTTGCCTTACCCCTTATGAGGGCTGCGTGACAGCCCAATCTGAGGACTGTTAAAAAAAAAAAAAAAAATATGTATATATACATGAAGTATTCTTTTCTGAACGTTTTAGAAAAAGTGGCCAATTATCTTTGTGTAATGGCTATTCACAGATCTACTGAAGGGTCCCTTCCAGCCTTTTGATTCTATGACAACTGCCTTTTTCACAGTCCTATAAGGATGCTTGGGGAATTAATGGGATATTTGTAAAGCATTTTCATTTCCTTTAAAGTTTTTATTTACAACCCATTTACATACATTTAAATGCAGCTAGAAAAGCATATTTAAATTCAATTTCCTTTGAAATTGCCAAGGGACTGCAACAGGGAGAATAAAAAAGCACTTTAATAGAGGAAAAAGGTCTGTATACAACAGGCATCACTGTCACTTCCTTGTCTCAAAATATACACAGACGTGCACACGGACGATTAAGGAAAATGGTGGCAGACCATATTATTCCTACACTGAATTTATAATAGGATCAATTTCTTTATTTTCTCTGGTAAATTCTATATTGCAAAAACACCATATGGGTGCTGGTTTCATGGTTCATTTTGTGAAAATACATTGAACCGTATCTACTGAACTCAATTAGTGTATTTTCTACATGTATGTAATAATTCAATAAAAAAAAACAAAAGTAAAAACTTTTAAAAATGATTATGAGTAAATGCAATACCAGATGAAGATGTAACATCCAATATTCAGACTGACGATATCAATCAATTATCTGAAAGAAAATGTGATTTTGGTGTTAGGTAGAAGCTAGACAAGAGCAGTGGAAGGAACGCCCTGAGGCCAAGTCCCAAGTCCTAGAAGGGAGGAATGAGAGAGAAGCAAGCTGGAGGCAGGGACAATGAGAACTACCCCTCTCCCCCCATAAGAAAGGCTGCCATGAAGTTTGCGGTACAAATCTTGTAGGGTCAAACACTCCTTTTGGAGGAGTTTTCCCAAAGACTGGAAGAAGCCGCCATTAGAGTTCACCCCACTGTACGTTACAGCTCCTCCCAACCCAGAGAAACCCAGTAATACCCAATTCCAAACAACATAAGGGCCGGTTCCACGTCTCAGAACCTGCCCGCTCTCCCAGCTTGAGAATGTACTTTCACTTTAATAAACTGCTTTGTGTAGACATGTATCATATGATCTCA